AGGAATTCTGTTTTGTAAGTGACAAGCAGAAAGAATAGCCTCCCCCCACAGATTATCAGGAGCACCAGAACTAATTAAAAGAGCATTCATCATTTCTTTTAATGTCCTATTTTTTCTTTCAGCTATTCCATTTGATTCGGGCGAATATGGAGGAGTTATCTCATGAATAATCCCTTCCCTCTCACAAAAATCATTTATTAAAATATTTTCGCCCCCTCTATCCGATCTCACTCTCTTAATCTTCTTATTCAATTGATTTTCCACCTCGGATTTATACACTAAAAAATTATCAAAAGCCTCATCTTTACTTTTAAGCAAATAAACTTTAGTGTATCTCGAGAAATCATCAATAAAGGTGACATAAAATTTATTACCACCTCTGGTCATGGTATTTTTTAAATCACCCAAATCCGTGTGAATTAACTCAAGCAGTTCTGATTCCCTATGTGTGGTAGGACATGATTTTTTGGTTTGTTTTGAATCAACACAAATATGAAATATCACATTTTTCTAGTGTCAATTTCTTTCCACTAGAAATCAAACCACGATCACGCAACAAATTGATATAAGAATCACTCACATGCCCTAATCTTGCATGCCACACATCATATGAATCAATCAAATAAGAAGCATTTTCACGCATTAATTTCGGAATACTAAGCACATAACGTCCATTCTTACAATAGCCTTTGCCCACAAAAAAATCATTTTTGGTCAAAAAAAAAATCATTTTTGGTCATAACAATTTTGTTAAAATCAAAAGATACTTTAATCCCAGCTTTTACCAAGAGAGAAATGGAAACTAAATTAGTTCGAATCTCAGGCACATAAAGTACGTCATTTAGTGATAAAGTTTTTCCCGATGTGAGTTTTAGAAGAACTTTCCCTTTACCGTGCACCTTTGCGGTTTTTGAGTCCACTAGATACATGAGCTCTTCGTCATCTCCCATAGTAGTACTATAGGAGGTAAAAGCACTTTTGTTTTTACAAATGTGCTTGGTAGCCCCGGAGTCTACCATCCATTCATTCACATAATTTATTTTACAACTTTGCAAAAACAACCGCAATAAAATTTTCATCACTTTTAATCAATTTTAATTTTGATTTAAGTGGGTTATTGTTTCTCATAGTTGTCTTTTTATCACATAAAATGACATAAAATATAATAAGTGAGATTAAACAAAGGCTTATTGTGAATAGGGTAACAATTAAAAACGCCATAAATTGCAATATACTAGTGCAGGCAGATACACGAAGCAATAGAAGTGCACTAACTAAAATAATTATTTGAGATACCAAAGTTTTCAGGGAACCTGTAAACCAGGATTGAAGCAACGCATTTGATTGGAATCGCAGGCTGGACATAGAACGCATCACCAGCCCCCGTCCGTACATACTTTCAGAGATTGTTGGGGATTTGACTTTAACCCTTGCTCCTGGGCGTCCAGTTCTGTCCGGCGGATACGCGGCACTCCGGCGAGTTGCTTCTCTCTCTATCAGCGGCAAATGGCAGCACCTTGTCTTGCCTTCATTCACACTTGCTTGAATATTACCACAGTTCCATAGCTTCCGTATAGCCATCACAAAGATAGACCTGCAAAATAGAATAACGAGAAACACCGTGGCTCGAGTCGCGTAAACGCTGTCCTCTAAAAGTATTTCCGGTGAACGGAAATCTTCCCCCATGATTAAACAAGCCCTTCGACTAATAGTCAGAACCAGAACTACGAGGGAAATCATCAAATTAATAATCCATGTTCTGTGTAAAGTATTCAGAGAGAAAAACTTTGTGAGAGTAGTTTTGTTCGTGAGTAGTCATCGAGTGCACAGCTTCTCCTTTATTAATAGAAAAAAGGATTGAAACAAATTGTTATTGATCCTAGAAAAGTGGAGACAAAGAAGCAGAGCCAAGTATTACTCATTCAACGAATTTGCACGTTAGAAAACGGTTTAGTCCACTTAGTCAAATAAGTGCTCGGTCATTAGTAATTAGATACTAATTAAGTCAATAGTTTTTATTTGAAATATATTAAATATTTCCAACAGAAACACCCGTGAACAGTAACGCACGTTAACAGTAGTTTTTTTGTTCCAGTAGCAGGGTGATGTAACTCGTGTGCAAAGAAATGTAACTCACATTGATATTAGATGTAATTGCAGGCAGTCAAAATATAACTTCTCGATCTAATACACACTATAAAAAATAAAACATTAAGTTCATTGTAAACAATGAAAAAAGTAGTCTAATTGCTCAATTACTTTACATGAATAATGAATATATATTTTCTATTTAATATTAAGGCCATAATTTTAAAAAAACATTTGTTTGCCAAAAAATCATTTTTTGCGAAAAAAACAATTTTTTTGTTTCAATAATAGAAGTTTATTTTTTTATGTAATTCTTGTTATGGGAAATGTAACTCGCGTTAATGGAAAAGCTAACTTAGGTGTGTACAAAATGTAACTTGTTGAGGCAAGTCCAAATGTGACTCGAGCACAAGAAGATTTAACTCACGCATAAAATGATGTAACTCGCGCATAAGAATATGCAACTCCATATACCATCAAATGTAAACAATGAGTCTAATTTCTCAATTACTTTATGTAAATAGTGAATATGTTTTGTTCTCTGTATTTAAGACCACAACAAAATTTTAAAAATGCCAAAAAAAACTTTTTTGTGAAAAAAAAAGAATATTTTTTTGCTGAAAAAATGGTTCTTTTTTGTTTCAATAGCAAGAGTTTATTTTGTGATCTAACTCATGTTATGATAAATATAACTCACGTTGTTGAAAAATTTAACTTAGGTGTATGCAAAATATAACTTGTTGAGACAAATCCAAATGTAACTTACGCATAAAAAGATGTAACTCGCACATAAAAAGATGTAACTCACGCATAAAAAGATGTAACTTGCACATAAGAAGATGTAATTCCATATAGTATCAAATGTAACTCCAGAAATTGTCAATAAACTAACTCACACATATGAAAAATGCAATCTCGTGTTTTATCAAATTTAAATTGAAATAGACAAACTTAATGTCTTAAAAACACTACAAACATATAAAAGAGATAAGAAATATATTATAGAGAAAGTGTATGAATATGAAAAATATTTCAAAAAAAGTGTATAAATTTAAAAAAAAATGTACACAAAAAATAAATTTTGTTGTAATTTCAGGTGAAGACGAAAAAAATAGTACTTCGTGTATGATTATGAAATGCAATATACTTATTTTATATGGATTAATAAAATTTCATAAGAAATTGGTAAAGAAAAAAAGGTAATTCAATTGAACTTTATTTAATTAGTTAAAGTTAAAGATAAATAAAATCACAATTAACCTTTAGTATTTTGATGAAGAGAAAAAAGAATTGAAGAAAATAAAAAAGAAAAATAAAGAGAAAGAAATCCGAAGAGGTTGAGGGAAAGGGGGGGAAAGGTCTATAGTACTCCATGCGCATTTGGAAAAGGAAACTGTACCGTACGAGGAAGCGGTCCAGTCCAACTGATCGCCGACTCACTCTCCCTTACGGGAGGTCTCAAGTTTGAAACTCAATGGAGTGAGTTTCAGCATAGATTACTCCAGGCTCCCCCCCCCCCCCCCCCCAGACACCTCCTGGAGTGAAAAAAGGAAACGGTACTATATTTGGTACCGGTATACCATGTGCATGGCATATTGGTACTACAATATAATTTGCATCCTTAATATGGCCACATTCATTAGAGCATCCACTATGGGTCGTCATTGGGGTAAAAAACTGATCCTACTTGATCCCCACTACGGGAGGTCCAGAATGGGATTTGACAAAAAAAATTGACTAATAGGAGAAAGCCAAATGGCTTTTTATTTAGAAAAAATAGTGGCATGCGGACGGATGACTTCTTTTCTCAATCAAGGTAGCCACAACCCCATCAACTATCCCCCAACTCTCTAATTTTATTTATTACTCATTAAATTTAATTTATTGTAAAAAAAAAATACCACAAAATTAGTTTTTTCCCCTCTATAAATAGACACCAAAGAAGGATATGTTTAGTCACTTCGAAATTTACCATTTATTCCCCCCTTGCAACTTATTTTCTGTTTTAGAATATATATTTTCCTCTAAAAATGGATCCAACCCGTTCTCTACCTAGATACATTGTCAACAATAAATAATTATAGTGGGTCAAATGTGAATTTTATATTCCTTTTGCAAATTATATAAATTAATAATGGTGGAATATACCAAAAATATGGAGAGAGAATGTACAAATTTTAAGTAACCTAGATCACCATAGGGGAGAGAAAGTGTGATAGGTTAGAGGGGATTAAGTTTTTCGTGGAAAATAATGTGGAAGAGAGGAGTGGGTCAAAAGTCATCGGCACAGTGGATGCTCTTAGCTATATGACCATATATATATATATATAAATATATATACACACACATACATGTAAGTAAAATTATAGGGCTATAAGCAAACACAATTGAAACTTACAAATTTAAAACAAAAAATCTCTCTTATAAAACCATAAAAGTACATTTGAGATTTTAAAAATCTTACTCAGATATATATCGCATTTCTAGATCTTACTGAAAAGGGATTGTTAGAACATCTCTGATGAAACAATATGGACAGTGTATACGTTGCATGAGAAATATAACACCGAATTAAATTGATGAAATTTCTCTTTCTTAAGTCTTAACATGATCTTTTACATTCCATTTTACATTTAGTAAGAATTCCAAGCACAATGTCTAAATCCATACATTTTGCTTAATATTACAGAGAAACAATTAGCAAAAGTTAATAACACCATTCAAATAAAGAGGGCGATATTATTATTAATTTTTATGTATATACACCAAGCATTGGAAATCAGTCCAGCGTTAACAGATTGATCAGGTTGACCTTACAACGGTAAATTCCACTAAAATATTTTATATTATAATTTCACTTAATGGAACCAATTTGAAAACATGAAAGACTGAAATTAAAAGGCAAACGAGGGAACAATGAGAACTTGTCATCAATAAGAGCACTTGGAAGAGTAGGGTTCAAAAGCAACACCTCATCTGGTTAACACAAACTATTGTAGTTCACAAATGTCCAAACTAGTTTCCTTAATTCCTCATGGAGTCATGGCGGCACGCCACTCCCCACAGTTTGAAGAACCTGAAGCATCTTTATAAAATCATCTCAAATCTGAGTTCACTGGGAAAATAATAATCGTACTATGTAGAAAGATGACGATTATCTTTTGAAAAGAGTAATAGAATATCCTGTTAAAGAATCCATCACACAAACATAACAAGAATGCCTTGATCAAGATTGCTGCCCAGATTCTAGCTGCGCAACCGGTCTGTGTTGGCCTGGAACTGGCTGTGACTGCTGCTGTTGTGGCGCTTGCCCGCCACTGGGTGGAGGTGGCATTGTAGCTTGATAAGGAGGATGAGGGTACTGCTGATAAGACTGTGGAGGAGGGGGAGGTATTATATAACCTCCATATTGTTGAGGATAATAAGGAGGGTAAAATTGACCATGAGGTGGTGGCACAGGAGGAGGATATGCAAATGGATATCCACCTCCTTGTGGTGGTTGTTTATCAGGACCAGAGCTTCTATTTTCACCTGACCCTGAAGCCGAAGAAAGGGCTCCCATCCTTTGAGGGTCCATAGAAGGATACAATGCACCCGCCCTGTCTGGCTGAGGTGGCATCGGTGGAATGTTAAAGTAAGGCATGGGCGTGGGTGGGTCCTGCCCACCGATCTGCTGCTGCTGTTGTGATATTAGAGCCCTAGGCAACAACCCGCTATGAGCCACAGTTGCGGCTTGATGTCTTGCCTCATCAGCAGTCATCTCAGACTCGGGGAGTTTTGGTGCCTGTGGTCTGCCCCACAGTAGTTTGAGCCTCAGTCCCTTGATGACCAGCTTGTTTGCAAGTTCCTCCGCAGCCCTCTCTGCACCTTCTCTTGTGGTATATGCTATGAAAGCACATCCTCTCTGCAGCACCATTTTTACGGACTCAATTTCACCATGTGCGTAAAACTGATCCCTAAGGTCCTGCTCGGTAATTCTTGCGTCAACCCCACCCACATATAGTGTCCTTATGCTCTCGTCATCGGGAGGCTCCAATGAAGGCATTTCACCTGCCTTGCCCAGCAGTTTCATTGCAACAGGATCATTTACTCTGCAAGCATTTACAATTTACCATATCAAGCCTTATCTACGATTATTATTTCTCTGTCATATGGGGCATCATATATACTTATTAGATAAAGTAAGGAGCATAATTTCAAAAAATAAAGTTCAATTATTATTTCCATCCATTTCAACCCAAACAAACTAGCCCTTGCAGTCTTGTTCTACCTTTTTTCATTATCTGCCAGCACAGTGAAAATTCAATGAAATAAATTAGTGTTTCACTGTGGTGACGTAACAAAAAACAAGCCTATCGAAAGAGCTCTATATCAACAGCATGAAAGAAAAAGATGAAAAAAATGTACGCTTACATGTATCACCATGAAAACTGCAAGTACTAAGATGCGAAAAAAATCCTTAATGTGTGTTCATCAACAAGATTGGGACTGCTAACGAACCGAGCTTTTATCGAACTATTCGAGGTCAAGCTCGGTTTCGATCCTAACGAGCCGAGCTTAACGAGCTTTTGAATTCGAACCCGAGCTGAGTTTTAAGTTCGAAAAATTAGTCGAGCCGAGCTCGAACATAGTAGTATTCGGCTCGGTTCGAACTCGAGCCTATCGAACACCGTAAAATTATAAATATAATTTATATATAGGTCAAAATTTAAATATAATTAGTATGATTTTATGAATTTAAATATGATTATTAACGAACCGAATACTTGTCGAATCATTCGAGCACGAGCCTATTAACGAGCATCACCTAAAATTTTAAATTCGGGCATATTTATCGAGCTTATCGAGCGCTCAGTTCGAACATCGAACGCTTATCGAACCAAACACGAGCCTCATTTGTAAAGCTCATCAAGCTTCGAGCTCGAACCCGAACACCACTAATTCATTTTCAAGCCAAACTCGAGCTTTAGGTGTTCGGGCTCAGCTCGGTTCGTTAACAGCCCTAAACAAGACTATCAATTATCATATTTTGAGTTCAAGGAATTAATTGTAAGAAAGAACTCTGTATACCCATAGTAACGGTCTTTAATATTCTGCTGTGACAGCTCCCCAGTTTCAGGCATCTCATGCCTGTATGGGCATTCCAAACCTCTTGTACATTGACCCCGAACATAAAAACTGCAAACATGTGCTCGGTTTCTCTTATAGTATGGGGTTGTTCGTTGAAGCTTCAATATAGTATCATTTGGACGGACTTTCCCATAAGAAGACTCGTAATCTATCCCAGCTCTCGCCTGCCAATGGCCAACAAAAAATGAGTAAGAATATTGCACCCATAAATCAGCAATTTAGCTCCTATAGTTTCTAAGTCATAACTTCATATTTTCTTTCCTTTTTAAGCATAATGAAAGATGGTCATAGTAATTTGAGAAAAGGGTCAAATAAAGTCTTCTATTATTATGAAACCGTCACATAAGGTCATGTACTCAATAAAGAGTCGTATAAATATGTCTACTTATAAAAAACAAACGGATGAGTCATAACGACCTGTTGACAATCTCGTAATTCTGATTTTAGCATATGTTTGGCTATCTTTTTAAAATAGATTATGAGGCTGACATGGAATATTTGGTCAGATTTGGCTTAAATACAAGACAAAAATAACGACATGTAAGCTAAAATCGGGATTAGGAGGTTATCAACGAGCCGTTTTGACTAATCCAATTGCTTTTTATAAGTAGACGAATTTATATAACATTTTTTTGAGTACATGACCTTATGTGATGATTCCGTAATAGTAGAAGGCCTTATTTGACCCTTTTCCCTAGTGATTTCTTACTTGAAGTTTTAATATTTTACATTACTGTATGGATAAATGGCAATTAAACATAAACTGGGCTAAAAGCTAGAAAATTTTACACACCCGGCGGTCATGCTCCTCAGCGAAGTATTCTCTGTTCACATCACTCTTTGGAATGGCATCATTGGAATCAATACTAAGTGCCGTGTCTCGAACCTGAACTGGCAATCCATATTCAAGATCCAGAAGGCAAACTTGGCAAACATTCTTCAACTTGCTGCAAGTTTGGCATATCTCTGTTTTTTTGTATCGTGCATCTCGACCAGGCCTCCATCTAAACACAGTAAAGGGGCGGGTGCAAATCTTGCATTCCTTGTCATAATCAGCTTTAGTCTGATATCAGTGCAAGGTCATAAGATGATGGGTTAATATTATTCCAACTAAATAAATAAAAACAATGAATCCAATTTCCCGAGAGGATTTGATATGTGGCATGTTAACATATATAGAGTAATAATTATTATCTGGCCGTCTGTACCGATTAAAAATTCATTTTAATAAGTTTCACTTCTAGATTTGTAGAAATTAGTTTAATACGGAGTAACATGTTTTCAGATTATGATCAACTAAAAGAATAAATTTAAAAATATCGATTTTTATTTACTCATCTTGATTTAATGTGTTCACTTTGGACTGCAAAAATACAAACTATTGATGTCTTTTGTCTTATTGGGAAGAACAAAATCTACCCAATTATTTGGCAAAGCTCAGGACCATCCTAAATTATCATAAAGAGTGTGGTTGCACCAAACTTAACGTGTATTTAAAGGTTCCATGCTTCCATCAAAACATAAAGCAGCCAAATTCATATTCAACTTGCAAGTCAAAATATCTACTGGCAGAATATTTTACATAAGAAATTCAGTTTGTATACATTACAACAACAAGAACAACATTCAAGCCTTAGTCCCAAAAGATTTTGGGGTCCCAAGCCTCAGTTTGTATACAGCACAAGGTAAAATATGCAACAGCAGGAATTACAACTTAGCCTTCATAACTTTGGTGTGCTTTGTCAGTTTGCCCACTGTCATAGAACCTTAATAAACAACAGTAAAGATTTAAAAGGATGCCACACATGCCTAGGAAATTAGTAAAATTGCTCAAAGTTAAAGACGCACAAACACAATGTAGAACACCAGACAAGTATATAGCTCATCTATGAACAATCAAATTAAGGTTAAAGCCTGGTAGAGATCATAAAATATATACTCCCTCCGTTTTTAAAAGAAACTCACACTTTCCTTTTTGGGATGTTTCAAAAACAAAGTCACACTTCCCTTATTTCCTTATTTGGTAAAGAAATCTACATCCAAACAGTGCCAAACAGTGTCAAACAGTGTCTAAACAGTGTTTTCTACAGTAAAGTCAATTTATTTCCTTAATAATCGTGAAGTCAAACCGTGACTTTCTTTTAGAAACGGAGGGAGTACAAAGTTGTCATTACAGTGTAAAGAAATCCAGCATGACATTTCGCACTTATAATCGTTAAGCTAAAGCTTGAACCCCTTGTGCAGATAACTAGAATGTGATGAAAGGCTAACTAGTTTATTTATACATACACACCCACCCCCCTTCTAAAGCATTAAAAGTAAGTCTGAGAGTTACCATTCGAACGTATGGACTATCACCAAGGCATGACTCGCATATAATTGGAAAGTCAGATCTTTCCCAACCATCAGCTTCAGCATCTCTTAATAGTCTATGAGCCATGACCCTAAATAGTCATGCAGAAAATTGAATTTAGCATGTGTATATATAATAGTGCCGCTTGCTTTGCCACTTTTCGTTCCAGAAACTGACCTTAAAAGAAGGAACAAAGGTACAAACAGACTCTAGTAACACAACTCAAGCCCAATGCTAAGCTATTTGTCCATTATTTATATTCAAACTTTGTTTTTATTGTTTGTAGGTTTCAATAATATGTACAATGGGAAGTGGGAGTTATGCAGAGCCAGAGAGATAAATACATCAAAACTCATACGGAGTACTACAAAAATAATGAATGTTATTAAGTGATTCTCAATGACACATGGAGCCACTGAGACAGTAACAACTTTGAAATCTATCACCACCCAAAGAATGGAGGTTAGAAAACAGTTCATGCTCTGGTCAACTTATTTGAACTACAAATGTCCACTTTTTCGAACCAGCAACTCAGCATAAAACATTCTTTTGCCTGAGCAGTAAAAACAATCTAACAGAAAATCCAGAATCCATATGATATTAACAATGATATTAATTTACTAGTTTAATACTAAAAATGGGATTAATATTCATTGACAAAAATCACAATAAAATTATAAATTTTCAAAATCGATTTTTGAGCACAGAAATTCGTTTATTAAATCTGTAATTGACCAGCTAGGTCCAAAACAATCAACACATTCTTAAATTAAATTTTTAATCTAGGATTGGTTTACCTTGATGAATAGTCACGGAAATCGGGGGATTTATACGACGTGTAGGTGAGGCAGTGCAGAAGACTGGGGCAGCGGCAACGGCTGGCCTGAAATCAGGCTTGGCGTGTGGCGGACCGGCGGGTTGGGGCAGCTGGCAGAGCACGGTAGCCGGTAGGCCGTAGGTGGTCAGCACCGCCGTCTTCTGGTAGGCTGGAGGCTGGTGCAGTGGTGGACAGACCTGCAGATTCCGTGAATGCTGAACTGCTTAAAAATCGAACCCGGACATCCGAAGGTCGGCAGTTGCTGATAAATTACGGTGTACTCCGTGTTATTTTCCATTTGGGCCGGATGGAACATCCATATGACCATATACACTAATTTTAACAATTCTTTTCAACATAAGTCTCTTTTTTATTTTATTATATGAAAATTATCTGTATACGAAATTTATACACATTTATCACACATTTATACATAATTGTCTGTGTATAGACAATGTGTACACCCCTAATTGTTTGTGTACACAAGCAGCTCATCCAACATCGTATCCAACATTAGGGACCTTGTGCAACAACAAAAATTGGGCCTTTTTCCCAAGTCTGAACACAATTTACTACCAAATATCAATTATTTAAATTCTCCCCTAATCATCTACATGTTAAAAAAAGTTTAGCTTAAAATTTAATTTACATTATTCAAATTCTTAATTGAATAACTTTTAAACACACGTATTCTCAATTCAATTACTCAAAAAGGGATAAACTACTGCAATAGATTAACAAATAACAACAAGGGCCACAAAAGTAGGCAACAAAGAACCAATTAATTTCACTAATTTGAAATTCAAAGAATCAATTCAAAGAAATCAGAAAAATATGTTTAGTTGCTTACGGGTTACTGCAGGAGTGCGGGTAGCGGCCTAGCATGGACAATGGACTGCCGGGCTAGTGCAGTCGTGTTCCTGGAGGATGGAGGCGGTCAGGCAGGGCGTCGTTGCGTGGTGCGGACGTGCGGTGGTGGCAGGCTGGATGTCTGGCGCTGACTAGCGGCGGTCGTCAGTGGGTCTTTCTTCCCGTATTCTCCCTTATGTATTCAGCATTCGTTCTGTATTTCCTTCGCAGACTTAACAATTCAAGGCTTCGGACCCTGGGCTGTATAATACAGAGTATTAGTATTGATTTTTTTGGGCCTTCCAAAATTTTGGGCCCTGTGAGAATGGGCTGGGTAGTGGGTACACATGCCCTGGGCCGGCCCTGCATTGTATGTCAAACAATTACACATAAATGTGTACAGAGTGTGTATAAATTTTGTGTACACCAAGAATTGTTATTATATACGAGTATATACTCCCCTAAAATTGTCTTATTTTTTTTGTCTGTCCCACCAAGATTGTGTCATATCAAATTTGGTAAAGTTTGTGTGATTCTAAAGCACATTTACTTTATTCTTACTTTATTAATTAAAGATCAACCACATAAACATATTTTTCTTAATAATCGCACCACCTTCTCATGTCTCACTGTTAGTGGGAAACTTGGGATGGAGGATTGCGTTTTTCAGCTCATTTATTTGTATCCTTGTAAATTTATTTAAAGTCTTCAAATAGGAAATGCAGCATCAAACGAAAAGTTGGGTTATAAGAACTGTGTTGAAATCCATTGTAATATGTTGAAATCTATGATATAGAATTCCATAAGATTCTATTAAAATTCTATGGAATTTCTAGAAATCTATAAAAATCCATGGGATTTACAATCTTTAGAAATCTTTTAAAATCCATGGTGGGACCCCGCCCCCAATCTACGACACTATCACTTTATCACAACTTAGGATGTTTTTACTTGGACTGTAATTTGCTAGTCTGGTCTGGTCTGGGGCGAATTACAGTCCAAGTAAAAACATCCTTAATAGGGTGTTATGGGCTATGTACAAATTAATGAAGCATATATTTAAAAGCAAAAAATATACCGCCTTCAGCTGCGGAGAAAACCAGAGATTAAGCGGCAGGCCGGGTTGCAAAAGGAAGGAGACTAGGGGGACAATTTCATAGTCTAGATGTTACTTTGCTGAAGACAACGTCCTGCTCAGGTGCTCACAAAGAAGACCTCTGTATTTTTTTTTGGAAACACCTCTAACTCTACCTAAATTAAAAACAACCCGGACACGCGTTTCAACCGTTTCCCACGTTCGGAAACGTGCGTACGTTTCCAATATGGGGAAACTCAGACTGCCATCCGTTTCCGTGCATTATAGGTGGGTCATCAACTTCCAGGGAGTGTGGATCCGTGCAGGTCCGATGCAGGGTCTGCGGTTGAAGGGGTGAGTTATAGAGTTAGAGTTTAGATCTGAATCGTCCGCTTCACATATATAGGGTTAATGAAGGTTGTGAGAGAGGGAGGCAGATGGCTGAGGGTAGATAGATGACAGAGGGGGAGACAGTCAAAGTAAATGAAAGAGGGAGACAGATGAAGTAAACGAGGAGTAAATGAGAGAGAGAGACGGACGGAGTAAATGAGAGAGAGGGACACAGATGTAGTAAATGAGAGAGAAAATCGAGTAAAAAGGATGGGAAAAGTAGTGTTTTAATGATATGCTTCTTTCTATATTTAGTATGTGGGAAAAATTTTTTGGAATGACCCAAAATAGAAAGTTGGAAGAATTTTTTGGAACGGAGAGAGTACTACGTATAAGGTTTCATAATAATCATCGCACAATCTTAGGATGTTTTTACTTGGACTGTAATTTGCTGGTCTGGTCTAGTCTGAACTGGTCTGGTCTGGTTTCTTTGTATTTTTATAACTATCCAAGTTTGGTCTGGTCTGGGACAAAATACAGTCCAAGTAAAAACATCCTTAATCTTATTAAAAGTCAAATGTGAATATCACATTCTCCGTGTAAAGAAAGTCAAATATTGAGTTGACATTTACCAGTCACAACTCACAAATGGTCCAAAACAGAAGAGCAAAGTTCCAATCACACCTCTACAAGTTCAATGATCGAATGAAAACATATGTATTATGTATTAAGACATATGTATTATGTATTAAGGATGTTTTCTTTTAGATTGAAATTTACTGATCTGATCTGGTTCGGGATTGAAAACAGTCTAAAAGAAAACATCTTAATTCACTTTAACTTGCAATAAAAAGTGAGGCCCCTCGAAGGGTTTTGTACCATTCATTTTTTTACATGTTCTTTTTTCGTTCATTTATTTCCTGTCACCACAATCTCTTGAACACAAAGGAAGAATTATCGATCAACTGATTGTCAATGGGTCGAGTCCAGACCGGAACGTAGTGTTCTAGATCCGGACCCATATACCCGGTGGGTCTGAAAATTTGGACCCGGACCCAATGGGTATCGAAACTAGGTTGGGTAGACCCGCCAAGTATGATATGCACAACATTATAAATTTTGTGAAAATAACAAGACATGTGCGTTAAATGTAAAGTGCGCAAACTTAAAAACAAAATATATCTTCACTTTTAGAAAAAAATCAAGGTTTCTCACTACTTTCTCATAGAAAATTAGTACTTTCCTCCAATAAAGTATCGGTTCTTGTAGAGGCGTATAACTCCACACTTTGTGTCTCTTTTTCCGCACAAAAAGCTCGTAAGTTAGATTAGAAATTAGATCACAAAAAGGTCTCTTGAACTAGTGAGAGTATAAAAACATATGTTGCATTATATATGATAATGATATAATAATATTAATAATGAATTGAAAATAAATATTGACTTTTGCCTACTGAGCCCAATACACACTTTATCAGTATCTATAAACGGCCAAAATGAGTATTAGTTTTAGGGATCTCACTATCTCGATCAGTATCAGTTATACAGTAGGTATGTATTAGTGTGTATCTTTTTAATTAAAGAATTACAAGCAATAACTTTATGTATTAGTATGTATATGTGTGTGTATTAGTTTGTATTTTTTATTTGAAGTATTATAACTAATCACTTTATGTATTAGTGTGTACTAATAAGAAATATTAAACGACACGCTGCAAGTCCTTAACAGATCGAAATCATATGTACTATACATGACCCGTTTATTAAAAATACTAACGGGTTCAGGTCCGGGTAAACAAAATAAAATATACACATACTCGTTAAAAACAACCGGGTCCGGTCTAGACCCGACTCGTTGATAGGCCTAGATCAACCTCAACATAGGAAGTTTTATAGTCTGGATGAATCACTTTCGCCATCTACACAACTAAATCCTCTTGTTTGAACAAACTCACCAAGTGAAAGATTCAACCTACTGCAGACTTTCCGTTTTGCTTATAAACATATTAGAGTTGGACCCGGTCCGGCAGTCCGACCTGATCCGAAACCGGGTCCGGCACTGTTTGGGACCGGATTGGGTCCGAAAAATCTGGTTCGGTCCCGGTTCACCCATTTGGGGACCGAACTGAGCATTTTTGGCTTGTAAACGGGGAAAATGAAAAAAAAATGGAACCGGGTCTGAATCGGGACCAGACCACCCGATTACCCAGAACCGGCCCAGACCAGGATTAAACTAGATCGGTTCCGGGCTTCGCCTACCAATGATCGGGACCAGTGGGTCCGAGACGGGGTCCACCCCCAATATTACATACTAGTTGAGCTTCAAATGCACAGGATTCGGCTTTTCGCATTTACGGAGGTTTAGTGGCATTTTGATTCTATAAGAGAATTTTAGTACGAGGTAAATTCTTATTCACAATACACCATATGAGCATAAAATTGTTCCATGTGTCATATGCGATCCAGTGTACCTTTCACAAATGCTGATGGATAACCCCGAGAATCACCGCAATGTAATTGCCATCTAAATCTTTTGAAGAACCTTGAAGCCATATCACTTCATACATTATTATTGCTTAATGTAACTAGCTTGTGTACGCAGTATGCTTTGTTAACAAAAGACCCGGAAAATACATTCAGACCATGCTTGCAAAAGGAAATTGCAGGACATGCTCAGGCAAAGGTAAATTCCTGGTCTGCAAAAGGAAATCAACAAACAAACAGATATCATGCTTGCTAATATCTAGCACATTCTCCTGGGAAAAATACTGACTTTTGTTGTTTGTTTGTTGTGCCAGATTTTAGCTACGGAGAGTTTGCTATCTGTCTGTTCTTGAATAGCTCTATAGCAGATTTAAAGCCAAATTCCACATATATTCTCAGAGTTTTTCCAAGTCAGAACCCCATGGTCTCTTGAAACTAATTTATCTCCATCCTGATTAATATTGCTAATCCTCCTCTAAATTGGAGAATCTGTAAGTTTGATATGATCAAGATGACCGGAAAATTAACTTCCCATTCACTGGTCATCGGGAAACTCTCAAAGAAAAAACGTGAAATGAAAAAAGAAAAAGGAAAAAAAAGAC